TCTATTGAATCAAAAACTAACTCTGATTTGCATGTGACTTCAGGTGCAGCCAGTACCTTTGCATCACTCGTCACAAAATCGCCGGATATATGGACCTTCAAAATAATGTCCAGTACAAGCAAAATATCGTGAGTTGGAGGATAATGGATGACTTACGAAGATATCAAAAGCGACCAAAGAACACCCTACTCCAAATGAATCAAGGTACTTGTTGTCGTCTTTGTTAATAATCAAGCAAAGTTGCTTAATATTACTTTGCGTCATTTCTTGCGGTAACATGCGTGTTTCTTAGATCATTTTTTCAGTCTGAAAATCGATAGTTCTCAGTTACAAACCAAAGTGCATAATTGGGAATTTGGTTAGAAAAAAAGGGGGCAAACTAATAAAAGTTTCGGTAAAATTCTTATTAGTGACAGGCTGACCGGCCTCGATGGAAAGCACTCCAAGAGGGTAGAAATTATACCCTTTAGTACCCGTTTGTTCTATGGCCAGCGGGTAGTGAGGGAAGCGTAGGCGACACTTGTGAGCCAGAAAGAAATACTCCTCAACCGAAATTTTTCATCCGTCGTTTCGAAAGTTTGACAAAAGGGAACATGTTTACAACAACAACTCGAATATTCATTAGAAAAATTTGAAAAATAAAATATGAGTGACTCTCTGGTATTCATTTCTGAGAACCCATGAATGTAGAAACGCCGGTTTTTGTCCAAATGAGTCACAACGACAACTAGTCCTTGAATATTCCGATACACTTTATAATTTAATGTCTTGGCTGAATACGATCGCTTAGAATAGTTACCGAAGCAAAAGTGCTATGAAAAGAACAATTGACTCTCTCGGTACCACAGTCCCTCAGCGCTAATCTCGTCTCGTCGCTGCGCGCGGCGTCCAACAGTCCGTGGTGTACAATGGGTTCGATTCTCTCCCACGAAGCTCCACAGCAGGTATTTAGTGTCAGTTAGTCTGAAGGCTCTTTTATAACGTGATTATCGCAGCAAAAGAACTCCCAGCTGTCTGAATCACTGCTTTTTGATACGAAACGTTGATTCATGGGTGATTAAGGTTCAACGCCCGTTTTGCAAAACTGACTGCATGCACCTCTACAAAATTTTCGGTTCTCTTTGATTAGGAGAAGGCAAATGAAAAACAGACCTGATTCGCGAGAGAGGAAATTTTCATAGGAGTGTTAGCGAACATCTGAAGCCGAGACTTAAGGCTAAAGCCTTACGTTGCCGGTTTTTCAAAACACCCTTTTGTGACGGTGTGATCTCCACACAAACCCGTCGCCTATTTCTCGCAGAGCAGAGCTTTTTGTTCGGACTAATAGTAATCATAAGAAAGGGTGGTGCTTCCTGATGCCGATGCTGTACGTATATTTTGAAAGACTATTCTTCTGCAACGCAGCAGGTAAAATAAGTTGAATTAGATGTATGAGAAAGGACGATCTAAAGCCAGTTCACGTCGCAATGGGTGTGGCGGTCACGTGACTGCTGGCGCAATACTTCTCTATATGTTCACAGGATCGCTCATTGGCCGCCGCAGCAAGCGCCCACGTGATTCACTCGAAACGTCGTTTCTCCTATATGGAAACCCGACTTTTTACTAGTTGTTTTACAGTTTATTTCAATAAGCTGGGGAAAAAGTTCTGAGAAAACGCTTGTCAGGAAATTGTTTTTATTTAACCGCTTTTTGCTGTGGTATGATGTTATATATAAATAAATAAATAAATGAATAAATAAGTAAATACATAAATAATAAATAAATATGTATGTATATACTCACTGGTGTAAAGTGATGTGCAAAACTTCAGCGCCGGGAGGGACTAGAACTCGCACCTTACTCTTTCCGGTAATGTGTGCTCTATCCGTTACACTACTGGCGCCCATTTTGTACATCGCTCTTTTCACGTTACAGCGCATCTCAATGCTTGTAACTTTTTTGGGCGTCGGCCATTTCTTGTGTTTTTGGGCTCTTCAAAGCCTGTCTGTTCGCGCTTTGGTTGGAATACAATTTATCTACTTAGTTCAGGAAGGAGTTAAGAAGCGAGCAAATTAGGTTGTTGATGATGCAAGATTGGGTGTTGGCGCTCATATTGCAACGGTAGCAAGTGGACGTATCAATCTGGCTTGGAACGAATACACAGTAGGCAAAAGTACGGTGTACAGGTGGCTCGAAAAGTTTGACGAAGGTGAAGAAAGTTTGGAAGATCAGCCGCGTTGAGGCTGTCCAGAAGATGTTGATCGTCGAGCTGTGCGTCAAGATGTTCATCTTCATTTGAACCCAACAGCCATTCGTGTTTCATCAACAACCTGATTTGCTCGCTTGTTAACTTCAATCCGAAATAAGTAGATGAACTGCATACCAATCATCGCGGGAGAAGACGGACCTTCAAACGAGCCCAAAAACAGAAAAAGTGGCCGACAGTCAAAAAAGTTACAAGCCTTCTCTCAAATCTTTTTCCGCTACCTATCACAAGTTGCGTTTCAAAGAAACGGTCCTTTAAGGATATAAGCACATCGTTGGAAACAAATTTGATTATTCCATTGAATGATGATCAATAGTTCAGAGAAAGAGCTTTGTCCGTAGAGAAATGCGTGTGTGGAGCCAAGAAATCTCCTGCAACAATGTCAAAAGTATTTTTTTTTCAAAACAGGCGATGTGGGGCTGTAACCTTACGTCTATGCTTGCAAGTAAACACAAGCACGATCTGTGGCCGTCGATGACAGGATAGAACTAGTAGCTTCAAAGCTTTGACGTTATGGAGAAAGTCCAAGCATTAGATCTACTGCGAGTGGAAGATTCAAAACCAACTTCACCAGGTAGAAGCTCACTATAATTTGCGTTGACGTTGAATAAGTTGAGAAAAAACTTACCGAGACAAAAAGTAGCATAGAAATAAATGAGTAGTCGAGGCAAGTGGCATCACCAAGGAGAGATAACCTGAAATAGCATGGCCTTGTTAAAGTCAAAGCCAAGTGAGGTCGCGAGTTGGCAGTCAAATCAATCTGGATACAAATTTTTCCGGATAATATATTAGCATAAAGGGATGAATAACAGATTTTGAGAGAAAACATTACGCAAACAATCAAAAGCGCGAATTTCTCAACGAATTTTTGCAGGCTTACGGAAAAAAACAGAGCTCGTTTTGTAAAAAATCTGCCAAACTCGAAAACAGACGAGTTCCTATGCGAAAAGAACAAAAAACAAAAAAGTGAAGGAAGAAAGGAAGAAGATGATAGAAAGCAATTCGAAGGGACTGACACAAGTAAGCAGAAAAGAGGTGAAAGTAAGATTTTTTAGATGACAGCAACCATAAAATACTACATTCGACATCCTATTACCATGTTAACTGCGGCAGTTCATACAGATAACTAAGCATTCAAAAGGAAAAGATTGCTCAACCAGTTGGCTTCCATGGACGCAAATGGACGTGCCCGCCAGTGTGAGTAGCCAATTACAGTACTAATTTTCGTTGCAAGACAGCACGCGAATCACTCTAAAATTAGCTTCTCGTCTTGCGACGAAAATTCGAAATGTAGTTGACGAGTAATCGTGGCAGAGGAGGGAGTCGTTCCCACGCTGGCGGACACCCTCAGTTTGAGTCCACGGGAGTCAATATCTGAAAAGTCAGTGTAAAAAATAAACACTACATTTTAAACGATTCAATCACATTGGTGAAAACAAACCACGCTATTGCAGCTGTGATAAAATTCTCAAAAAAATTTATTCGCCCAAATAAGCGCGTTTGGTGAATGGTTAGATGTGCTCTGTGATACATACGTCGTCGATGGTTCGATCTGTGGCTCAAGTTCTAAGCCCTCTATCTCTTCACAGCTAGAGAATTGGTACCAGACTTGTCTGGAAGGTTAGCAGTACTGATCCGGTAAATCATCTGTCGGTCACCGCGAGTCAGGCTTAGATATCGTTCAAACACATCAAATGACGCTATCAATGGATACGAATGCATGGCGCATCCATCACGGACCGATCAACGCTGAGAGCGTTGTCCTTCATCCATTTATCCACTCTAGTGCCTATGAACACTTCCAATTAACACATGCGCCGTGGAAGATAGTGGTGTGAAAATAATCATGCATATTCATATATATACATATATATATACATATATTTATAGCTTGGTATACATGTATGTACGCATATATATATATAGCAAGAGGCGCCGTGGCTGAATGGTTGCTGAGTAGACAGAAAGGACAAAAAGCCCTTCATGCTGATCAAACCCTGAGGCATACGCCATGCATTCGACTTTTTCCGGTATCGTTTGACGTGGTGACTAAATGCATATCTGGCCAATGGACGATTTGTGGCGACCTAGCTGTCCATTAGCTCAGTGCTAATATCTTCGCTCACAGGTCTGCCACCAGTTTGTAGACATCCGAGAAATAAGAGTGTGGTGAGCCAACTAGTGAGCCATAGTAACAAAAGTATATTTGATAAAGTTGAATGGGATAGAGCATTCTAGACTATAGCGAGCGTCCGGCGGAGTCGCTAGAGGTGGTCCAAGGTCCGATTCCACACTAAAGGCTCACCGAGCCTTCAATACCTTAGTCATCGGTGAGTTGGTATCACACTTACCAGGAAAAATAGCGGAACTGACCTGTTACGTAACTGTAAGGATTTGATGCACATTCAGTCACCTCTAGCGATGCTACGAATGGAGACGAATGCATGGCTGACCAATCAGAGATTGATCAACACCGAAAGCTTTGTCCCTTGCTTATTTATGCTCATCACAGCTGGTTCCTTTGTCACCATTTAATATATTATAGATCCTCATTCAATAAAAATGACTAGTACAGTCCGAATGGAGACGTATGAGTTACACAAGACTCATGAATTCGCTTTTCACTTTCTAACTAGACATTATGAGACGAGATTCAAGTCAATAAAATCAGCCTGACATGCCAACAAATCGTAATTTGGGTAATACACCATTAAGTGAAGATTTTGTGTAGTCAACAATTTGAATTCTTTTTCTTTACTTCGTACGGGAGTTGAACCCGCACTACATCCATACTGGGGGCGTGTGCTACCACTACACCAGCTAAGCCATTATTCTGCTACCACTCTTTCTTCGCTATAAGGCATCGAAGCTGTCAGCAACCAAGCAACTATGAACGTGCTTGGGTCTGGGGAGCATATATTGGCGCTTAACCTAGTTAAGCTGACAATCATATATTCAAGAATGCTGAGTGATCTGTAAAATGTTGACTCAAGCGGGAGCCAAACGCGCCTCACCCTTATTTAGGTCGAGTGCCGGTAATATACTACCGAAGTTATCGTTTTGCTACCACTCCTTCGATATAAACGACTCACAAAAAAAAACAAAAAAATAGAAATAATGAAAAGAGGGGATAAAAAAACAAAAATAAACAAGATAAAATAAAATGTAAAAAAATTGGTTTGTCGGCCGAGCCGAATATTGGCTTCTTCCTTAATACAACCTTGGACTTTCCCAAGAGCGGGGCTACAATGGAAACTGATGATTGTAGCCAATCAGCTCAAATTGAATTGTCTGTCGAAAAAGGATAAAGATGTCGAAACGTCACCCTAATATGTCTTCATATAACCCTCGTGAACTCGAGTGGCCAATGATCAAAGGTGCCCTGCGACGCACATGTGCTCTAAGGTAGATCTCGCGCTCAACGGTCAGCAGCCTTAATCCTTTGAGGATCGGTGTTTTGCGCATCTCTTAAGGCTTGGTCAACGCCTGGAGCTTTATCTTTTTATCTTTTATCGACATCGTGGTATTCGCTAATCAATAAATCGGCTTAGTACTAGTTAACGATTCTGAGTCTGACCGGTTGACTTCCACGGACCCAAACTGGGCATGTCTAACTGGCAAGGGCTTCGATCGCTAACATAGGAACGGCTTCACCCCGTTTCCCCCTATGCGATTCTAACCTGAGCGTGGCACTCACTGTCTGTCCCACTTCTCTCCACCACTCGGCACCTGTTTATGGGGAAGGAGGTTGCTGGTTCGATCGCGTACCACAACACATCACTGTTATTGTTTTTGCTTTCACTACAATACACTTGAATCACTGGCACACCACATCACACCATGTCCAGCATAGTAATGCCGTAATACAGACGATCGATGCGCAGAGCTTATTTATCACCACTTATAGAAGGAGCTTTAGATGCTAATCGATATCAAACACACAGAATCAGAAAAACTTCAGTGAGGTGTTATGGTGGGGATCGAACCAGCAACCTTCTTCCCGATGGGCGGGTGTCGAGTGAGAGAGAGGAGTGAGACAAACAGTGATTGCCGCGCTGAGGTCAAAGTCGAAGAGGGGCGAGGGCGTGGAACTGTTCCCATGCTGGAGATTGGAGCCCTTGCCAGTTAGAGACACCCAATTTGGGTCCGCGAAAGTCAACCGGTTAGCTAGGTCGCGAATCAGTTTTCAAAGTATCACCGAGTTTTCCTCGACAATTAGAAAAACGACATCGTTATCGATTGAAAAAACCTTCGTTTATTTCGGCTTTCTCCTTATTTTCGTCTCGACTTCTCTTCTTTTTTTAGCAGCTAAGCTCTGACAAAAGCCGTATTGTGAGGAGATTTAGCTTGAAATTTGATGTTGTTGTATCAGGTTGTTCCAAAATTTTTCATAGTAGAGTAATAAACACCAAATTTATCGACCAGAATCGACTAAAATTGCATGAATTTTGTATCATTCAATTGTGCATTTCCTTGCGAACATTTTGATATGCATTTTGCCAACATTTGCTGTAAGATGGATCTGTCTTTAGAGCACATTCGCTTACTTCTCATGCACGAAAGGCGCTCGGGGGAAAATGCGAGTGAAGCGGAGCGCAAAATTGATTAATGGGGCTTCCTGTGGACCAACCCGAGCACGACTGATCTTGTGGACTGTTCTCTTCGGCTTTGAAATTCTTAAATCGCTTACTATTCATGCTTTGTGGAACCGCATTATCATCTCAAGCTCCAGTAATCTTGCGCGCCTCTTCACTAAAACTTTTCCCTAGGCGCTACTCGTGCATAGCGATTTCGCTTTCAAGACAACTCTATGTTGAAGCAAGTATAGGCAGCATATATGTCAAAATGTTCGCAAAAAGATGCATATTTGAACGATATCAGAATCATGCAGTTTTATCGACTTCTGGTTAATAAATTTGATGTTTATTACTTTAGTGCCCTAATTCGCTGAACGAGCTAATATCGGTGGCATAAGAAGCCTTTGTCTTCACAGACATGTGGCTTTCCCATTCTTAACTAATTTTTGATTTCAATGTATTCGACCATATTTCTTTATCCAACAGTCTCTTTTCTAGCAGTTTATGATATTATAACTTGAGGTCCAAAAGTATTGAGTATCCTCCATGCTGAAAGGGGCCTTAGAAAGGATGAGCCGCAGGTTCAACTGCCGACTAAGCCAAAATTTTGCAAATCACTCAACATTGCAGGGTGTATAGTTCTTGCATTCCATCATCCTTTCCGTGAAGACACATTCATTTTCTACCTTGTTCTCGTCTTAGTTTTTCGATAAATGCTATCTGTTTTATAAGAAGTCGAGTGCTTTACGAGCTTAGGGGTTCAAAGGCGACTTATCGGTGGAAGAGGGACAGAGAGCGAGAGAGAGAGGGGATGGGGGGGGGGGGGAGGAGAGTGGGAAAGAGAGAAAGAGAAGGTAGGGAGAGAGGGAGGAAGGGTTCGAAATGTTTAATGCGCAGGAGTACTTGTCATTTTGCTTATGAGCACCTATAATTATGATCTACCCGGCCAGAAAATTCTTCGTCATCATAAAAATTGCGGCTCTACAGCCCTCTCGAAATTCTCCAGCAGTGGGCCAGTCAAGGATATCACAGCCCAGTAGCTGGAAAGGTACCCTTTTGTTCAGCGGCAGCTTTGTTATTTGAAAATTGAAGTTATATGGAGGAGAAAAAAAACAAGGATGATATGTCACCGACGCCACCACTCTGCTACCTTATACTTCTCCCTAGTTATGTGGTAAATGCGGATTCAGCTCCCGTCTGGAGTCGCAGTTTTGCAGATCACTCAGCATTCCTCGATAGACAATCAAACATCATAAGACTGCTATAAGAGCTGTATGAGGAATTATGACTAATAAGTATTCAGCGGCCAGCAGCTTAACTGGTTTGATACTGATTTGCGTTTACCAGGCAAGCCCGTCGATTGTTCATATCGAGGGAGTGGTAGCAAAACGATGACTTCGGTAGTATAATACCGGTTTTCGACCTAAATAAGGGTGAGGAACGGGTTGGGCTCCCGCCCGAAATCGCCATTTTGCAGATCGCTCAGCATTCTTGGATATATGATTGCAACATCATAAAACTGTTATAAGAGCGGAAAATGAAGAAACCTTGCAGACTTTATACATCCAAAAGATGTCAGCTTAATCAAGTTAAGCACCAATATATGCTCCCCAGACCCAAGCACGTTCATGGTTGCTTGGTTGCTGACAGCTTCGATGCCTTATAGCGAAGAAAGAGTGGTTGCAGAATGATGGCTTAGCTGGTGTAGTGGTAGCACACGCCCCCAGTATGGATGTAGTGCGGGTTCAACTCCCGTACGAAGTAAAGAAAAAGAATTCAAATTGTTGACTACACAAAATCTTCACTTAATGGTGTATTACCCAAATTACGATTTGTTGGCATGTCAGGCTGATTTTATTGACTTGAATCTCGTCTCATAATGTCTAGTTAGAAAGTGAAAAGCGAATTCATGAGTCTTGTGTAACTCATATGTTTCCATTTGGACTGTACTAGTCATTTTTATTAAATGAGGATCTGTAATATATTAAATGGTGACAAAGGAACCAGCTGTGATGAGCATGAATAAGCAAGGGACAAAGCTTTCGGTGTTGATCAATCTCTGATTGGTCAGCCATGCATTCGTCTCCATTCGTAGCATCGCTAGAGGTGACTGAATGTGCATCAAATCCTTACAGTTACGTAACAGGTCAGTTCCGCTATTTTTCCTGGTAAGTGTGATACCAACTCACCGATGACTAAGGTATTGAAGGCTCGGTGAGCCTTTAGTGTGGAATCGGACCTTGGACCACCTCTAGCGACTCCGCCGGACGCTCGCTATAGTCTAGAATGCTCTATCCCATTCAACTTTATCAAATATACTTTTGTTACTATGGCTCACTAGTTGGCTCACCACACTCTCATTTCTCGGATGTTTACAAACTGGTGGCAGACCTGTGAGCGAGGATATCAGCACTGAGCTAATGGACAGCTAGGTCGCCGCAAATCGTCCAATGGCCAGATATCCACTCAGTCGTCACGTCAAACGATACCGGAAGAAGTCGAATGCATGGCGTATGCCTCAGGGTTTGATTAACGTGAAAGGCTTTTTCTCCTTTCTGTCTACTATCTTAGCAGATCTGCAATTAACTGGGGCCAATCTCGTTTGATCGTCCTCGGGCACCATTACTGACATTTCGATCATTCTGGAATCCATTAACACGTCGGGAATTGTACGGTATGTATGTGTTATACATACGAATATGTGTACATATATATGGACATACCGTATATATACGCATGTATATATGCACGTACCTATCTGCATATACATATGCATGTATACAAATGTATGTTATATATATATATATACATATTATATACATATATATATCATAATCTATTTATTTATTCACGCAACCCGTCCTCATAATTTTTCTATTGTGCGGATCCCAGTACTTCTGATATTCGACTCATTTTTCGTCTTCTTGAATAGAGTAAAATAGTGGTCGAGCATGTCTCCTTGCAGTCTCAAGGATAGCCTAGCTGTGGCTTTCCATAGGGCCTTCTTGTTGACTGCCAGAGAGTCTTGGAGAGTGGAGCTTGGCTTAACGAGCGCCTCGACGAGCATCACAACCATTCAGCCACGGCGCCTTTTGCATATATATGTATTTATGCGTGTTTATACATACATATATATATGTATGTATACATATATATATATATATATATATATATATATATATATATATATATGATTGAACGCATATCTAAGGCTGACTCGCAGTGACCGACAGATCTTCTATCACATCG